ATTTGAAAATAACAATTATTGAATGAGAAAAATGTAGGAGTAAATTAGAATAATAATAATAATAATATATATATATATATATATATATATATATATATATATATTTGTGTGTGTGTGTGTGTGAGAGAGAGAGAGGGATTGACGTTCGAACTATTACAGTGCACTCACTTGTCAAGATTGTCAAAAAAGAAAAGACATTACCAAAAAAAGAATGCACACACACACACACACACATATATATATATATATATAAATTCATGAATCATTCATACAAAAAACAAATATAGAATGATTCATGAATTTATAAATTATAATTGCACCTTTAATTGAAATATATATATATATATATATATATATAAACAGAAAATATACCTGAGCAAGCGTCTGCAATAGGGATTGGCTAGCCACCCTAGTAGACGTGTACCCTCGAATACGAGTGGTCAGCTATACATACATATAAACAACTACGGCCTGTATAGAGATGATGGCCTGACGATAGTGTCAGACAACGGAAGATCAAATCACAGTATAAGAAAAGCGCTTTTCAAACTCTTCAAAAACATCGATTTTGAAATAGAATTCGTTATGAATAAGAAAATTGTCAGATATTTGGTTGTAGAATTAAATCTACAAGCTCGCAGTGTCTTCATACATGAACTCCAACAGAAAATAAAATACGTGAATGTTTGATCCAACCATCTTGCGTGTATAATAAAGCAAATCCCCTAAATAGATTCCAGGTTATCTAGAAATTCCTCTAGTAAAATAATTTTCGAAGATAAAAAGTAAGAATATGAAAGGACTTGAAAAGAAGAAAGGTTTTAACCCTAACCCCAAATAAAACAAAAAAATAATAAAAAAAAACAAATGAAGAACAATTCAAGGCAAAGAAAAATATTATCTGGTTTAAACGCCACCTTTAATTTAGAAGTCAGGTGTAAAATAAAAAAAAATTCTTCAGCCTAAATATTCCGAATTACATAGAATATTTAATAAAAACACAGTTAAATTAAGGTACAACTTTACTAGTAATTTAGAAACCGCAATAAAAAGAGAAAAAAACGCTAGAATTTCAAAACTAACGTGCAGCATAAAATTGTTAACAGTGAAATATGCAATTGTAGAAATAAAAAATAGATGCCCGTTATATGGAGTTTGCAAAATTGAAGCAGTACTTTACAAAGCAGAAGTAATAGATAAAAATGGCCAGAAAAATATACATATGGTGTGCTGGGTTGAATTCGAAAAGATGTGGTACAATCATAAGTAATCTTTTCAGCTAGAATTCTTTAAAATTCTACTAGACTAGCCAACCATGAGTTGAAATTAAAGGCGAAAAATGAAAAAAGACTGTAACCTGGAAAATTAAAAAAACAACAACAAATAAACAAACAAAAAACATGAAACATGAAACAATCATAGCAACATCTGCAACCTTTGTTAACAAGAAAAAATAGCTATTATAACTTTTCCAGGCCAATTACGACCCGCTGTATACATAATTGATGTGGGTTCAAAGTTGGGACCACAGAAGGAAAACATGGAACACGGATTAGATGTAAAAAAGATATATTAACAACAGGTTACAGAGATAGTGTAAGCGGAGCTTACTATATGTTAGTGTCCAACACTGGTAGTCGTACGCGGCTCTCACTGTCTCACTCTATGTCACTCTCTGTCACTCCCTAGAGTGTTATGTCGCCTACTTAATATAGGCCTGGAAGAGTCTATTGTGTTGGTAGTTTCCGGTCTCACAATACCCCCCTTCCAAAGAGTTTTCTTTTTGAAAAGGAGAGAAAAAATAAAACTTGATACTTTTTCCTCTTGGGATTTACGTCGAGCGGTTGATTAAATTTACTTTTCCTTTCTGAGCGTCGCACTTCAGGAGAGACTTGGGGCATCGTTTAACCCCGTGGAAAAATCTGCGCATACTCGTATTTAGTTGGACTTCTTTTTTACGTAGACCGTAGGTGCTGCCCACTCGCTGAAATCTGTTTTTGACAGAATACCTGCTTGTTCGAGTCTATTTAACTCTTTGTTGATTTGTTCTGGAGCAGCGAAAGGGATATTCCGTTTCTTTTTGAATACCAGTTGTGCACCGTCCTTCACCTTGAACTTAGCTTTCATTTTAGTACATTTCCCAAGGCCGCCAGAAAAAACCTGGGGAAATTGTTGTTTGAGTTCCTTTTTTAGATTTACCAAATTGGACGTTGTACTTTGTATCTTGCGACAAAATGTACTCATTGGGCAATCCCAAAGATTGAATTTTTATCCAATCAGTTCCAAATAAGTTGTCTGAAGTTTTCAATACATAGGCTTTTAGTTTTTTGGTAACTCCATTTAGTATTACTGTAAGTATTACCTCACCTAAAATGTTAATCTTTTCGCCAGTTACGGATTTTGCTGTTTTATCTGTTTTTAATAAGGTCGGCTTGTTTAATTTTCGCTAAGTACGCCAGTTAATCGCTGAAATATCAGAACCCGAGTCAAGCTGAAATTT